TACTTTCTCGCCTTAACACAGTGTATTAGATAGAATTTAACCTGTCTATCTTGACTTGGGATCAGCTAGTCCTTCAGGGTCGTGATTTCTAAGCATCAGGGATCATAGCCTTGCCAGTGTTGATGTGTCCATCCCTATGTTGCTCTTAAGCAAAGCAGTGCTCATTCTCTAGAAGTTTCCTTTTAAAATAAATCTCAGCCTCTTTAAAAAAAAAGTTCCATCAGACTTTCTGGCTTCAGGAAATCCATTGCTACTGTATCACATTTTGTGGGGTGATATCTTGCTTTGGGCTTGTGTGGTAGTGAGGTAGTCTTATTTTGGGACAATGCTGTGGTAGAGATTTTCATGCCTGAGGTGACAGCAAGTTCTTGATCTGATGTCATTGCTCCAGAAGAAGGTTTGCATGCACAAAAATGGATGCATGTAGGGTTGGTGCACATACAGATGCACGTATGGGCAGGGTGGGGACATGCATGCAGATCCACATGGGAAAGGGTAAGGAGGAGGCCTAACTGGAAAACTAGGAAGCCTTGGTTTTCCCGTCAAGAACTGAGTCTGCCACTCCAGTGGAGCTCCAGCTGTCTCACCTGTTCCTGCTTAAGGTGATAGGATCTCACAATTGGTCCAGCAATCAACCATGATCCCCCATAAGAACCTCACTCTTTTTCCTGCTGTCCTGCTTAGTCCTGCTGGGTGGGTACTACTTGGGTTCCCTGCTCCCTGCTGTGGCTTGCTGCTCCCCAATGAGGCTTCCTGTACCCGCTGATGCTTACTGCACCCTGCTGATGTTTGTAGCTCCTGAGGCTCTCATATGTCCACATTGATCCACAGCAATGGGGATTCTCACCTCCTTCGAGGGGCCCAGAACCTCCCTGTTGCCTGAGTTAAGGGGTCCCATGTGGGACAGCCAGACAGCAGTTTGTTCCCCAAAGAACCTGCTTGCTCTTGGCGGGTGGGTCCACAGCAGTTTGGCTGGTGACTTCTGTCCGGGACCTAGCTGGCCTGTGTGTGGTTCAAATTCCAGCTCTCAGGACTGTCTCTCAGCTGCCCTGGGTTATGGCTGCTTGCTTCTGGCGGGTGGGTCCCACAGGGGCTCAGATAGTGACTTCAGGCCAGGGCTCAGCTGGCAGCTTCCTCTGGGGCCTGCGACTGTATGCTCCTGTGGCTTCCAAACAAATTATCTTAATCAAAGTTCTGACTCAAATTCCTACTGTTTGTGTGCAGTCTCTGCACCCCTGTGTCAGTCTTTCTACTCTTGCTTTTCTTACAGATGCCATTTCCTTGGTGTATTTTTTACCACTCTTTCTATTTCCCTCCTTATTTTTAGATATGTCTCTTGTACAAAACATACTGACAACTTTGAGGTTTTTATCCATTCTGCCACTCTTTTCCTCTTAATTCAGGTCTTAAGTCATTCTTCACATTTAGTGTGTTTATTTTGAGGTCAGGTTTTTATCTTTGCTATGTTGGTGTGTTTCTTTTTTTGTTTTTCTGGTTACTTTAGTCTATCCATTTTCCTTTGCTGTCTCTGTTCCTTCACCACCCCTCCCTCAGCCATCTTTTCCCCTATCTAACCCAAATATAATGGCTCAGACCTCTGTTATCTTCTATCTGCTCTTAAATCTTTAACTCTCTAGTGATGTTGGCACTCTGAGCAGGTGGGGTGGGGACTGGACTTCATTTAGTCCTCTAAATGAAGGCCTTCATTTAGTCCTTCTTGTAGAGTTGGTATTGTTCTCATGAATTCCTTAAGGTTTTGATTTCCTGCAAATAACCTAATTTCTCCTCCACCATTGTTGATATACATCTTTGCTAGAAATAGGATCTTTGGCTGGCAATTGTTTTCTTTCTGTCTTCTGCACATACCAACCCATCTTCTTGCTTGCATGGTTTCTGCTGAGAAGTAAAAGCTTAATCTAATTGACTCTATTTTATAGATGATTCTTTGTTTTTCTCACACTGCTTTCAATATTCTATCATCTTTGATTTTGGGGAAATTGAGTACATTATGTCAGGATGTTCTTCTTTTGTGGTCTAACCTGTTTGGAGTTTGCTGAACTTGAATGTATATTTACTAATTTTTCATGAAACTCAAAAAGTTTTCTTCTACTACCTCTTCTACAACTTTTTCAATGCTCCCTCCCCCGCCTCCATTCCTGGTCTGGTATTCCAATCATATGTATGTTGTTTCCTTTGATGCTATCCCACATATTTCTTAGGTTTTCTCATTTTGCTTCCATCTTCTCTCTGGTTTTATCCCAGTAAGTTTTCACTTAGGTTTTTGTTTTCTGTTTAACTGATTCTCATTCCATCTCTTCTATATTGCTTTGTTTTCCCATCCAACCTGCTGAAAATTTTTGCAATACTGGTCTTGATAGTCTAGATTGTAGATTCATGTTTTCTGTTCTTTCTGACACTGTGTTAACTGTACTTTATCTTGTAAGATTTTTTCAATTTCTTGTTGCTCTCTACTTACTGCTTTAACTCTTTTACATCATTTGTAATGTCTTCAATATCATTTCTAGCAAATCCATGTTGGTATATTTCTTCTGTCTTTCTGGTCCTTGGGTATTCTTTGAGTCCATGATATGCTCTGATTTTTTAGGAAAACACTTGTTCTGTTTTGTAATATTTGAACCTGAGTGCTACTTCCTTGACATTTTATGAAGTTCTTCTTTATGGATGTGAGGCAGGTTCTGTTATGTCTGTGTAGGAAATGGCCCATTCCTTAACTTCAGAATTTAAGCTTTGAATTCAGGTTCCCAACAGAAATTTCTTGGCTGGTCATCTGTTCCCTGTTAAGGTGGCAAACTTCTCCTCTGGTTGTACCTGGGGAACAAGTGAATGGGATCTTTCCTTTTGACCAAGTGTAGTATCCCTGCTCTTCTGTGAGTCAGATGAAGCTACAGTTTGAAGTCTTGGTGGGAACTGATGCTTTGTTAGATTGTACAGTGGGAGATAGGAACTAGGGGATGGGGGCATCCCACTAGGCACTTCCTTCTAGGTGGATTGATCCAAGTAGGAATGTAAGGGTGAACTCACAAGTATCTTGAGAGTTGCTTCCCTAGCTGCTGACTGGTTCAGGGAAGAGGACAGGTGAGTGGATGGAGGCAGAGTGGATGCATGGGGTTCCTGGAGATGGGTTGGATTAATGTGTGTCATGAAAGACACTTCCCTCACTGCTGGTTGTTCCCTGGAGTTGGGTTGGCAGATAGGGGATAGAGAGGCAGAGAAGACTCAGGGAGACCTGCATGGTGCTTCCCTCTCTGTTAGCTGGTTCTCAAAGGCCTCTCTTTTTTCATTTTTAACTATGTATACCTTCTTGTTAAAATTTTTTGAAATGGGAAAACATTTTTTTTCATGCTGTGAATTATAGGAGTCCAAATTAATGGTGTTAGCTGTCTTGATTAATTCAGAAGGCTTTGAGAAACAAACCATCCTATTCCTTTTTCCTAGTTTCTGCTAGCTGCTAACATCTTGGCCATTCCATTGCCATTCCCTGTTCCATTATCATGTGTCTTCTTTTCTTGTGTAAGTGAATCTTTCTATGTCTTTCTCTTTTGTAAGTGGCCACTTGAAGATGATTTGAAATGGACCCATCCCGCTGTGGTATCACATCAGTAATATCTTTTGTATTTAAATTTGCAAAAGAAGCATCTGATTTTGCAAAATACTGTATTTCAAGTATATAAATGTATTTGTTCCAATGAAAAGGTTTTGAGAAATATGGCATTAAATGTTCAGGCAAAGTGGATCTATCAATTTTTCATTTGATAGCTTGCTTCTGCACAGTACAGTTAATTTATGTGGTGAGTCATTGGATACATATACATGGCTGCACACCTGACCCTCAGCGTGGGTTCTGGCCAAGTGTTTCCTTTTATTGGCAGGATATAATTATCAAAATAATATTTTCTAGTATTTTCCAAGAAGACTATGTGCTCTATTATTCTTGAAGTGCTCAGCATTGTTAAGTTCAGTTCTTCCAAACATACTAGGTCCCTGTACACCCATAGCCCCAATTTATCTTTTCAGATTTTCTGGATTTCTGATCATTTCTACTGTTCAGTGAGAGTCCGTGTGGTGTTTATTCTTTCAGTATATGTCTCACCTTCTTAAGTGTATGCAAAGAGTTTGTCTTGTTCCCTGAAATGGTTAAGTAAGAAATCACTGGTTGGTAATACCTGCTGACTATCATCTCCTTGGTGGCCTAATGGGTAAGGAGTTGCATTGCCATCCCAAAGACAGGCAATTAGAATCCACCAACTGTTCCACCATCACCTTCCATGCAATCAACAGCCCCTGAGAATCTACTGGAGGATGTCAGCTATGAGTTGGTTCTGATTTGACAGCACATAAAAACACTTTATTTACAGGTAGCCACTAGTCATCTGTAAGGAGGTGAGCTGTCTGTTGATGTGGTGCTGAATATGTTTTAGCAATGCATCTAGATTAGATAGACTGCAAACAAAGGCTTTCTGACCTTCTGAAAGTCACTTAGTCATGAAAACTCTGCTATCACAAAGATTTTATCTGGATTGAGCTTGAGCATAGTTTAAGATAGGATGTCATTCATCATGCACAGGATTACCGTGGGCTGGGCTGGCCTGATGGTAACCTGTTTTCTAATGAAAGAAAAATCCATGTTTATTCTCATTACTGAATCTTTTTGAAACCATTTTATCTCATTGTCATTTCCTTCAAGCTTCTAGCTAGCCAAATCCTAGTTTTTGGACTGAATGACACAAGAAAATAGAGTATACAAACATCATAGACTAAGTGGAATGATTTTAGGAGAATTTTTAAAATTTTTTCATAAGGCACCAAGAATACAGTATTTTTCTTTGTTGGTTTTTGGGTGCATTACTAGGTAAGAAGGGATCCGTTATTAAACATGAAGGATTTCAGCAGAGGTGCTGCCTCTCATCATTTGTGTCTGAAAAATCCTGTAGTCAATTCCCAATCAAGGACATCTGGAACAAGTTATGGCAAAGATTTCCTTAATACTCTTCAGAAAATGGATAATTAGGGTTGTCAGAAAAGCTGAAAGAAAAAAGACAAAACATTATATGGATTCAGACAGTTTATAATGCAGAACAGGCTTTGTTTTAAGTTGGCATTAAAGTGTAAGACACATTTTTGCATTTTCTTCTTGGTTCTATAACATGCCTTTTACAGAGTTTAACCATGACCCTTTTCATATATTCTTGAGAAGAAATTGTACTCTAATTCTGAAGCCACAAAATTAAAATACACAAGCTGCTCCAGGGGAGAAATTTAGGCAATCTCCTACTGTGCAATTATCTGTCTCTGAAAACATGTTGCAGGGTCAGCTGTGGGTCAGTTCTGACTTGATGGTATGCAACAACAACAAAATAATAATTAAAGATGTAAAATTAGATTCCATGGCCTAAAGTTTAACACATAAAGACACATAATCCAAATAGAAAAATATCATGTCCTCCTTTGGCTGCATCTGTCAAAAAACCAAGGAGATATTCTGTGGATTTTTCACTTGGATTCTCAGTAAAATTGAAAACTGATTCTACCTTGTTTTGAATAGGAATAAGTCAAGTTTCTTGTTCAGTATTAACATATATTTAGGATCATATATATTGTTAATAACCATCACACTTCATCTCACTAGTTCATTAATTTTTTTGTGCCTAACATATTCAATCTATGGAGAGATCCAGAAATCAATATAATGATGTTTATAAGATACAATATAATCCTTAGAGAGGTTCCAATACAGTGAGAGAGATCCCTATGTTGTTGTTAGGTGTCATCAAGTTGTATACACCTCATGGCGACCCTATGTAAAAAGAGCAGGGGCCACATGGGGAACGGCATATCTGAGTTTTATTAACTTTACAGAGGGAAACTATCCCCATTCACAGCATTAATAACAGAAAACCAATTCTCATGAGGTCAGACATTTCCCCACGCTCCCTTGTCCTTTCCACTCATCTCAATACGAATTTTAATTCTTTGGTGGGTTCAAAATATGATGCGATAACTCACAGACCACACAGAACCATATTTGGGAAGTCAAAGTGTTGTAATTCAGATTGTTGTTGTTATGTGTCATTAAATCACCTGTGACTCATAGTGGCCCTATTTACAATAGCTCTGAAGGTTTCCTGTTCTAAGCCAGTCTCACTGATTCCAAAACACCTACCCCTATTGCCCTAGTTACTGTATCAGTCCATCTAGTCTGGGGTCTTCCTCTCCTGCGCTGTCCCACCACCCTTCTGAGCATGATTTCCTTCTCCAAGGACCAGTCTCTCCTGGACACGTGCCCAAAATATGTGAGACAGAGTTCCAAAATCCTAGCCTCCAAAGAGGAACTTGGTTTCACTTTCTCCAAGATAAATCTATTTGCTTTCTTGGCACTCCATAGTATGTTCAAGACTCTTCTTCATCACCACAACTCAAAGGCATCAATTCTTCTTCTGTCATCTTTAGTCATTGTCCTGCTCTCTGATGTTTAGTAAATAATTGCAAAGACTATGGCCAGGATTAGGCATACCTTGTTCTTTAGACTGCTAATGTTGCTTCTCTGTACTCTGGAGAGGTCCCTAACAGCAAAGTTTCCCAGTTCGATTCAGCTTTTGATATCTTGACTGCTGGTACTAAGAGTATTGACTGTGGTGCGAAGCAAGCTATCAGTGTTAACAATCTCAATCTCTTCTCCATCCATCATGTGTTGTCAGTTGTCCCAGTGGTGAGAATCTTTGTTTTCTTGATGTTAAACTTCAATCCATATTGAAGACTACAGTCCTTGACCTTCTGTAGCAAGTGCTTTAGGGTTCAGCAAGCAAGGTTGTGTCATCTACATAATGTATGTTGTTGGTGAGTTTTCCTCCAATCTTGATGTCACATTCCCCCTCATAAAGCACAGCCTCCTGAATGATCTGTTCTATTTATAAATTGAAAAGGTATGGAAACAGGACATATCCCTGACACACTCGCTTCCTGATTTTGAATCATGCAGCATTTCTCTGTTCTGTTCTGAGGACTGCTTCCTGGTCCAAGTACAGGTTTTGAATAAGCACAATGAAATGTTCTGGGATTCCCTTTCTTCCTCAGTTTATTGTAATCTGCATAGTCAAATACCTTTGTATAGTCAACAAAACAGGTAGATAGCCCTATTATACTCTTGGATTTCTGCCAAGATTCATCTGACATTGACAATGATGTCTCTAGTGCCATGAGGTCATACAAACCCAGCTTGTGTTGTTGGTATTTCTCTGTCAATGTACTGTTCTGGTTGTTTCTTGATACTCTTCAGCAGGATTATGCTTGTGTTTGATATGAATGATATTGTACGATAATTTCCACACAGTGTCAGGTCAAGACAGCTCTAGAAATTGCAAATAGGAACCTCAGTCTCAAGCCTTATGGCCTTTAAGTGTTCCCAAGTTCTCAGTCCTGCCAATATTGGCTTCCCACCCACAATTGTTCAACAAAGTTGTCAGTCCAGTCTTGCCAATATTGGCTGTTCACCAATTTGTCCAACAAACTTCTGAGTCCTGCCAATATTGGCTTATCTCCAAATGGTCCAATGAAGTTATCAGTGTTGACAATATTGGTTTCATCCTTCCCCAGGTCCCCAAATTACCATCTTACATCAGTTCCCCAGTTCAGCCATGGATGCTACTGCCATCATGAAATTGTCCTACATTTCATTGTTTGGGAGAGGTCTCTCTTCTGTGGTTAAGGGAAGAATGCCAGCTCTTCTGATGGGGAAATTCCCTTCTCTGCAGCTAGAGCTGTTTAATTTATTGGCAAGATTACCAATTGATGTATTTCAGCAAACAGATGCTGCCCTGTATGTGCTTACAAAGTTGTTTCAAGAAATAGGGAGGACAACTACTTGGTCAACTGACTGAAGTGATAAATATTTATTCCCATTCCAAAAAAAAAGATGATCCAACAGAGTATGGAAATTATTGAATATCACTAATATTACACACTAGCAAAATCCTGCTGAAGATTATCCAGAAAAGATATACACAGTACATTGGCAGGGAACTACCAGAAATATAAGCTGGGTTTAGAAGAGGTTGTGTGTGGCACTAGGGACATTATTGCCAGTGTTTGATGGATCTTGGCCAAAAACAGAGAGTACCAGAAGCATGTCTATCTGTGTTTCGTTGACTATGCAAAGGCATTTGATTGTGTGGATCACAATAAATTGTGGCTAACCTTGAAGAAAATGGGAATCACAGAACACTGGATCATGCGTATATGAAACCTAAATTGGGCCAGGAAGCAGTCCTCAGAATAGAGCAGGGAAATACTGCATGGTTCAAAATCAAGAAAGGAGTGTGTCAGGGATGCGTTCTGTCCCTGTACCTTTTCAACCTGAACAGATCACTTGGGTAGCAAGGCTTTATGAGGAGGAGTGTAGCATCAAGATTAGAGACTTATTAACAACCTACAATGTGCAGATGACACAACTTTGCTTGCCGAAACTGAAGAATATCTGAAGCACTTGCTACAAAAAGTCAAGGACTGTAGTCTTCAATATGGACTGATGCTCAATATCAAGAAGACAAAGATACTAACCACTGAGCCAATTGGCAGCACCGTAATAGAGGGAGAAGAGATTGAGGTTGTTAGCAATTACAGCTTGCTTGGATCCAGGAATCAAAAGACAAATTGCATTGAGAAAATCTGCTGTCATGGACCTCTCCAGAGTGCTGAAGAGCAACGATGTCAGTCTAGATACAAAGGTGTGCCTAATCCAGGCCATGGTCTTTCCAATTACTTTTCATGCTTCAGAGAGTTGGAAAATTACTAAGGACGACAGAAGAAGAATCAATGCCTTCAAGTTGTGGTTCTGGAGAAGAGTCTTGAACATACCATGGACTGCAACGAAAACACATAGGTCTGTCTTGGAGAGGGTAAAACAAACTCTTCTAGGAGGTCAGGAGTTTGAAGCTCTGCTTTACTGACTTTGGGCATGTGGTCAGGAGAGACCAGTCCTTGGAGAAGCACATCATGCTTGGAAGGGTGGTGGGACAGAGCAGGAGAGAAAGGCCCTCGATGATATGGATTGATACAGTAACTGGGGCAATGGGGGTTGGTGTGTCAGAATTAGTGAGACTTCTTAGCACAGGGAAGTTTTCAGAGCTTCCATACATAGGGTCACTATGCATCGCAGGAAACTCAGCAAACAATAACATACTATGACAGGTTTGGAAACAGGTGTGATATTCACTTGCTAAACCACATGTCTCCAGAAACTCTATGAATTTTGACAAATGTCATTAATTGTAGAGGGGCTTCAGGCCTTTCATTCATAGGGTCATTATTTGTCGTGCTTGACGCAAAGGCAATCAACAACAACTCAGTCCCTTTGTGGAATGGTAGATAGCCAATCCCTTTGTGGATAAAACAACATGCCTCTGTTACACGACCTGCCCCTTCACATCATCATCCATGCTAGAAAACCTATACTGTGAGACAAACTCTATACCCTATGAACAACTCTGAACTCTGTCCCATCCAGCACCATACTCACAATCTCTGACTCACTGGAGCCATTGTTGCAGTCACAGTGTCAATCCATCTAGTTGAGGGTATTCTAGTCTTTTGCCTTCTCTCCACTTTCCCAAACACGATGTCCCTCTCCAAGGAACATAATCTCTTAGCAACATGCACAGAGTATGTGAGACAAATCATTATCATCTTTGCCTCCAAGGAGGTATCTGGTTGCACCTTCTCTGTGTGTTCTCTTGGCACACAGATGTAAGATATTTCTATGTGTTCTTTTGGCAGTCCCTGAGATAGTCAGTTCTTTTAACATCACAACTCAAAGACATCCATTTGTCTTTTGACATCCTTATTCATTATCCTTATTCATGGTTCAAAGAGTATGGCCTGAATCAGGCACACCTTGGTCCTTATACTATCATTCCTCCTCCATAAGTTGGAGGGGTCCCTGAGAGCAGACTTACCCAGTCCAATTCATTTCCTGATCTCGTGTCTGCTGATACCAAGCATATTGATTTAGCTCTAATTAAGATGAAGTCATTGGTAGTTTTTAATCTTTTCTCCATTTATCATTTTCACTATTGGTCTGTTGTTGTTTTTATGTGTCATGGAGTTGCTTGCAACTCATAGCAACTCTACGTACAATAGCCCTAAACCCTACTTTATCCTGTGACAACTTTATTGTCTCTGACACACCTATCACTATTACACCAGTGACTGAATCAATCCATCTCATCAAGGGTCTCCCTATCTTGTGCTGTCCTTCCGCCCTCCCAAACATGATACTCCTGTCCAAGGATTAGTTTTTCCTTGTAACATATCTAAAGTATGTCAGATGATGTTTCAGAATCTTTGCCTACAAGAAGCAGCCTGATTCCACCCTCTCCGGGATGAACCTGTTTGTTTTCCTAGCAGGTCATGGTATATTCAATACTCTTTTTGCTATTGGTCTAGTGGTGAGAATTTTTTTTCTTGAAGATGTGATATAATCCATATTTAAGGCTGTAATCTTTGAAGCAAGAGCTTCAAGTCTTTCTCACTTTCAGCAAGCAAGTTTGTATGATCTGCATAACATAGGTTATTGATAACTCTTCCTCTAATCCTGCTGCCACTTTCTTTCATAGAGCCCAGTTTCTTGAATAATTTGCTCAATATACAGATTGAATAGGTATGGATAAAGGATACAACCCTAACATATATTCTCTCTCACTCTCTCTACATATACATTACTTAATTTTAAATCCTATAGTGTTCCCTTGCTTTGTTTGCACAACAGCTTCTTGGTCTACGTATAGGTTTTGCATGAACTCAATTAAGTGTTTGATATTCCCATTATTATCAATGTTAACATAATTTGCTATGATCCACATAGACTTTGCATTGTCAACAAAGGATAAATAGGCATTATTCTAGTATCCTGAGCTTTCAGCCAGAATCCATTTGACATCAGCAATGGTATCCCTGTAGCCTTCTAAATCCAGCTTGAACTTCTGGCATTTCTCTGTGAATGTACTACTGTTCTAGTCATTTTTTAATGACATTCAGCAGGCTTTTGCTTGCATGTAATACTAATGTTATTATTCAGTAATTTCCATATTCTGTTGGATCACCTTTCTTGGGAATGTATACAAATATGTATCTCTTCCATTCAGTCAGCCAGGTAACTGTCCTCAATATTTCCTGGTATAGACTGGTGAACATGTCCAGGGCTGCATCTGTCATTTAAAACATGTCAGCTGGTATCTGTTGATTTCTGGAGTTTCATTTTTTGCTAATGTCCCAATGAAGCTTAAATACTTCTTTCATTCATTGACTCTTGATCATATGATAGTTCTTGAAATACTCTAGTTCCAGGCAATTCTTCTTGATACAATGATTGTGTATTCCTCTCATCTTCTTTTGATGCTTCTGGATTATTTAAAATTTTGCTCATGGCATCTCAAAGTAATGCAAGTCAAGGCTTGAATTAGTTTTTCAAATCTTAATGTTTGAAAGATGCTGAGTGAGGTTTTTTTTATTTTCCACTTCTAGGTTTCTGTACCTTTGTTTATCATTGTTATAATTAGCACAGCTCTTGTCTGTAAGTTTTCTCTACTGGGATAACTTATGGTTTCTGTAGTGCTGAAAACTGTACTAGTGCTGTGTCAAATGCCTGAGGGGTCACCAATGGTGGACAAGAGTTGGTAGAGCTCCCAGATTAAGGCAGACTTCAACATAGGATTGGCCATCCAATTCTTAAATAGCAGGCTTCTAAAAATCCTGTGAACAATATGTGGATATCCCTATATGATAGTAATATAAATATAAAATGACAGAAAAGGATTACCTAAAATTAAGGTATGTAACAGGTAGCAGGAGTTACCAAGGACTTGCTACTCTCTCTGCATCATTTACCCCTTTTCCTGCTGGTTTCCCCCAAGTTGACAAACATATTACAAATGATAATTCCCTACTTGCACATTTTTTTAGGGCTATGGGTATGTCATTGTTCTAATCTATTTTCATTCATGATCCCATTATTTCTTTTAAATTCTTCAGCACCAGTAATATATTCCTTGCCTTTTCCACATTTGTGATAAATATACCCTCTTGTTGAGTATCATTTCATTATATGACTCATAGCAACTCTATGAACAACAGATCTGAATGGTGCCTTGTTCTGTTCCATCCTCATCATCTCTAATACACTTGAGCCCATTGCTACAGTCATTGTGTCAATACAACTCATCTTCCTCTCTTTTGCTAACCCTTCCCTTTTCTAGGTATTATGTCTTTTTCAAAGAAATAGTCACTCCTAGCAACATTCCCAAAGTATGTGAGAGGAATCTCTGTCATCTGTGCCTCTAAGGAAGTCTCTAATTGCACTTTTCCCCCAAGACAATGTATTTGTTCTTTTGGTGGTCCGTGTACTATTCGGTGCTCCTCTCTAATACCAAACACAAAGGCATCAATTTTCTTCTATCATCCTTATTCATTGTCCCCACTCAGATGCATTGCAAGTGATTGAAAATGACTATGTCTTTACTCAGGTGCACCTTAGTCTTCAAGCTGATATCTTTGCTCCTCAGTTATTTGGAGAAGTCCCTGACAGTGCACTTTCCCAAAACACTGTCTCCTGATCCCCTGACTGCTGATACCAAGGGAACGGACTGTAAATCCAAGTAAGATGAAATAGTTGTCAATTTCAATCTTTTCTCCAACTGTCATGATACTGCTTATTGTTCCAGTATTGAGAATGTTTGTCTTCTTGACATTGAGGTGAAATCCAAATTGAAGGCTGTAGCCTTTGATCTGCAGCAAGCATTTAACATCCTCCTCATTTCCAGCATGCAAGGGTTGTTGATGAATTCCTCCCATACTGATTTCACATTCTTCTTCATAGGGTCCAACTTCTCAAATGATTTGTTCAGTGTACAGACTGAATAAGTATGAAAAAAGGATACAATCCTGAGCAAGATATTTTCTGATTTTAAACCATGCCATTTAAACGCTTTATCTTTTATTAAGAGAGTGCTAGTAGCTCAGTGGTAAGAAGTTCTGTTGGAAGCTGCACTGCATCCTGAAGGCAGATGATTAGAATCTATCAGTTGCTCCACAGGAAAAGGATGAGCAATCTTCTCTCACGTGGCTAACACCCTCTGAAAACCCACCAGAGGTTCAGCGTGCGTAAATTTTGACTCAACAGTACACAACAACAACATAGCTCAGTGATAAGGAATGTTGCTGTAAACCCAAAGGCATGAGGCTTGAATTTACCAGGTGCTCCACAGAATGATGGGCAATCTCTTCTTGTGAGATTTTTCTGCCTCTGAAAACCTGGTGGAGAGTCACCTATGGGTTGGTTTTGAGTCAATGGTACTTAAAAATAAGAACAACAATTCTTTCTTAAAGTCTTCATACTTAGAGCATGAAGGAATAGTAAAGATATCTTGTTGGCTAAACTTTTCTCCAATTTTGAGTTTGTTTTCTACACTTTTGTTTCAATACACATTGTTTTAACCTATTTCATTGTTTGTATTAGGATCATGATACTTCAGAAACTCAAAACCAAATGTTCTTCTTACACCTACCAAAGACAGCATCTCTGGTGGCAAATGTAATGCTATGCATAAAAAGGTACATATTTGCAATGATCTAGCAACAGTATATGATATGCAATGTTCGGAGGGCTCAATAATTTAGGATACAAATGAAGATAAAAATTGGAAAAGCATTAAGACATAAAATGTACATATCTGTTGAAGATGCTGGAAATTTCAGATTGGACCAAAAAGGGGATAGGTTGTTATTAGGTGCCCTCTAGTCATGTACAACTCATAGCAACATGAAGAACAGATCAGAACTCTGTCCTCTACTGTGCCATCTTCATAATTTCTGACATACTCCAGCCTACTGCAGCAGTTATTGTGCAAAATATCTATGTAAATGTCTTTTCCCCAGCTGTTGGAGCAATTGAGCAGATTTAAGTAAAGAACATGATAAAAATAATTTTATTAAAAATCAATTAAGTAACATCTCTGCTATCCAAAGATACATCCAAGGTATTATTCTAGAGATGAGAAGTCTATATAGAAGATACAGATTCAGCAATGATATAGATTTCTTTGGAAATGTATAAGGAGCAAGGAGTACGTATATGACCATCAAACTGACTCTGGATCTCTATCACAGTTTTGTTGGTTTAGTGAATGGAACTCATACTGAACAGAGATGCGAATTCTTAGAGGGTACTGCTACCTCATATTTGTTCCAAACAGGTCACTACCTCTTGTTGAGTAAATTAGTACAAATTTTCCTCCCTTTGGAAGAAGGGCAGAAGGGTGAAGGGTTGGAGGAGGAGGAGGGAGGTAAGAAGAGGACAAGAAGCACAGAGAATATACCTATTGAAGTCACTTACATGTCAAGAGTTGTATATCGCAAATTTCTGTTTAGGTCATCTATTGTTTTCATGTCTTCTGAAGTCAGTTGGAACTCAAGGGCCTATAAGAGTAATAAAAACATTAACAAAGTATTTTGTTTGCTTGGCTCCACATTAAGCACTCTTGGTACCAAAAGCCAGGAAATTAAAAGACAAATTGCATTGGGAAACTCTCCTGTCAGAGACCTCTCCAAAGTATTGAAAAGCAATGATGTCAGTCTGGAGACTAAGGTGCACCTTATCCAGGCCATAGTCTTTGCAATTATTTGTTATGCATCAGAAAGCTGGACAATGACTAAGTATGACAGAGAACTGGTGCCTTTGAGTTGTAGTGCTAGAGAAGAGTATTGAATATGACTGCAAGGAGAACAAAGAGGTTAGTCTTAGAGAGGGTGAGACCAGGCTGCTCCTTGGAGGCAAGGATTCTAAGGACATGTTGCAAGGTGGGACCAGACCTTGGAGAGGATGTCAGGTTTGGGAGGGTAGGGGGACAGTGCAAGGGAGGAAGATCTTAGATGAGATGGATTGATTCAGTGATTGGGGGGGTAGTGGGGTAGGTGTGTCAGCGACAAAAAGATTGGCACAGGATAGAGCAGGTGGGGTGAGGAGTCACCACTAAAAAAATAATTGACTCAGGTCTCTACTTGATGAAGCTCCTTGAGACTTGACATAACAACAACAACAACAACATTTTAAAATTATAATAACATTTAAAAATTATAACATCTCCATTCTTAAAAATCCAAGTGGACTATTATTGCAAACAGCAATTCACATTATATAAAATACAATATTAATAACAATAATAAGCAAATACCCCCTGCCCCAAGTACTACACAATATGAGTTAGAGAAAATATCTCATTTTTTAAAACATAGTCAGAACAAGGAACTCTATTTTTCCTACTACTTCACTCAAAAATATCTCATTTGTAGTAGCAACAATTAGATTATTCTGTCAAGAAAGAAATTTAAGTATAAATATATTTCTCATCAAGATTCTAAAATACTATTAAAACAAAGATTTGTGGTAAATTCCATTATGGCAGAACTGTGTTCTATTGAGTCTTCAATCATTGGTATTTTGGAATTATATCACTGATTGTTTTTCTGAGTTACCACTGGATATATTGACATTTTATTAACAATCTGTGACACTAAGAATATATAAAAAGAGGAACAAATTATCAGCAGCACAACACCCTATGGATTATGCCACAAAAGCTCTAATAATAGTTGAATAAATTTAACAAAATAGTTCATGATTTTCATGGATGGATTATTTTAAAAATGTCATTTGTTGTAAATTGATTGTTGTCTTATTATTATCATCTTATTATTTTAAACATTATTAACATTTTTTTTCAGCGTGGAAAAAAGGGTGTAAATTATATGAGAAACTGGTTTTCCCAGGACATGTGTGCGTTAGAATATTCTAAGGAAGCCAAGTTTGAAAGTCTTAATATCCTGGGACCATTTTTCAAACTCTATGACCCAGATTCATTGTGTTTATTTTGGTTTGCTTTTGCAGATTGATGGATAAAATTAAAAGAAGAGATTGTCTGAAATATTCTCAACATGGGCAATGAAGTAGGAATCTTGCATTAGGTTTGGAAACTGAAACACACATCCTGTATTTAAGCGTTCATGAAGCCAGACAACTTACAAGGACGTGGTTGTGTAAATATGAATGTTAAAGGTGGAAATAATTGTTGATACTTAGATTTGTAGGTCAACCCTTGCACAGGCTTGCTTCTAAATACACTCTTTATGAATGATTCAAAGATTTCTAGGATTTTGTGATTAATTTAGTATAATCCTAGACTTGTGTGACAAAAAGCATTCTAGAACTCTTCTTTGGAGATGTTAGGTTGGAAAAAGGAATGTGAAGAGCTTACAAAAAACCCACCAGAATAAGTAAAGGAATAAATCATAAATCATTGCCAATAAATCAGACAGACTTCTAACTGTCCCTGTAGTGGGATTTTCTTAGACAATAAATTGCACAAGGGGAAATTGCCCACCTTTCTCATTCAAAAAACCTGGTGGATTCTAATCACTAGAGAAGTCCTAACTTTTGGGTTCAAGTATAGTTCCTAATGGAGTAGTTCACCAGAGTTACCCAGAGAAGTAAGACACCATAAATAAAAAGCTACAGAGGAAGAGTCAGCAAAATGAACCCAAAATGCTTATTAAGATTGCTTTTGTTGACACATGAAGAAATGCTCCAAATCACTGGCAATAAGAGAGATGCAAATCAACTATGAGATACCATCTCACCCCAGTAAGAATATAAAAATTTAACAGAAGAGCAAACAACAAATGCTAGCAAGGTGTGGAGAAACTGGAACCCTTATTCACTGTTGGTGGGAGTATAAAATGGTGCAACCACTGTGGAAAGCGGTATGAGACTTTCTCAAAAAAATTGCAAATAGAAATAACATTTGACTCAGCAATTCCACTACTGGGAATATACCCCAGATAAACTAGAACTGCCACCCAAGCAGATACATGCACACCCATATTTATCATGGCTTTGTTCACAATAGCAAAGAATTGAAAACAACCTAGGTGCCCATCAACAAATAAATGGATAGAGAAGCTCTTGTGTATTCACACAGTGGAATACTATGCTGCTTTGAAAATCAAAGAACTCATGAAATATTATTAAAAATTGATGATCCTGGAGGACATTATGCTGACTGAAATATCTCAGTCACAAAATGACAAATACTGCATAGTGCCACTGTTGTAAAATGGGACTGCTTTCAGGGTTGGAGTGAGACTGAGAAAGATAGGATAAATTATGTATAATACTGCATTAAAACAGATGAGGGAGAGAACTGTTTAAAAGGGATTAGGTATTATTGTCATGACAGGAGTCCAGAACAAAGGCTGCATAGTGGAGTGGACTTGGGGGAGAGAATTTTATAACAATGAAATAATTTTTCTTTTACTTTTCAAAGAGAAGAGCAAATTGGGAGGAGGGTGTTGGGCAGGGAGAAAAGTGCAACAATGAATGAATGGAAATCCAAAGTGTCTGTAAACTTTCATTAAAATTAATAATAAAAAAAGAAAAAAAGATGCAAATCAAAACCCAATGAGTAGGGGAGCTCTGGTGGCCTAGTGGCAAGGAGCTGCAACTACAATCCCAGAGGCACACGGTTCGAATCCACCAGATGCTCTGCCGGGAAAAGGAGGGACAATCTCCTCCTGTACCAGTCAGATCTGATTTGACGGTACACTCACACAAAAATAAAAACAAAACAAAACAAAAGAAAAAAACAAAAAAAAACCACCAATGAGTAGTGGTGACAAAAATGTAACAGGACAGCAAGTAATAAATGTTGGCAAGGATATAGAGAGATAGGAACTCATACATTGTTGGTGGGATTGTAAAATGGTACGATCACTCTGGAAGGCAGTTTGGCATTTCCCCAAAAAGCTGAACATAGAAATACCATATGACCCAGCTGTTCCACTGCTTGGAATATACCCCAAGAGACTGAGAACTGAGGTACAAACAGAGACTTGTATGCCAATGTTCATAGTAGTGTTATTCACCATCACAAGAATATGGAAGCAGTCCCAATGTTCAACCATAATTATGGATTGAGAAATTAAGGTACATTCACAAGATAGAATATTACACAGGGCACAGGAGTAATGATTTTGTAAATTACTACTAACGTGGGAGGGTTTGGAGACCATTATGCTGAGTGAACTGACTTAATCTCATAAGTCAAATACTGTATAAGGCCATTATTGTAGACCAAGTATGAGGATTCAAGGTGGGGGGAGGTAGAAGCAGAGGGGTGAGCGTATGTGGTAATCATAAGGTCGAAAAATTTGATAAGGGGGTGAAGGAAATGGGAAAGATCTGGTGTGAAAAACCATGTATCCAACTATGTGTAAATAAACCAGTATACAATAAAAGCAGTTTAGAGAATAAACAAACTGGATTGGGGAGAAAAAAAAAAGAGCCACTGTTGGAGTCATAAAGGTATAGCCTTTGGGTTAGCAACACAACTTCCTACAGACTATGCCAAATGAGCTCCCTGACCCAGGAGACAGCAGAGTTATAACTTGCCAAGATTCTGAAAGGCACTGAGAAATGGTGGGAATTGGTGGCAAAAACATAATGGCAGCATAATAAGCAGAGCAAATACAGCCCTGTAACAACAACAATAACAAAAACATCTTACACATCAAGCAACAGAGAGAGTAATCTGAGTGTCTTTGGGCAAGAATTTGCTGGTAGAGTGGGACTTCTCAGAGAACTTGCCTATATTTACTGATCCATGGAACTAGAGCAGAGTGGTTTTGAGCCCAGACTTCTAAGCGAAGTGGTGTGTTTGCTTCTTGCCTTTTAGTTGGTAGAGGGATGGTACATTTCTCACCTTTTAATTGTTTGTTGTGTTATTATGTGCTCTATCCTGTGCCAGTCTTATTGTCTCTGGCACACTTACCCTTATTACCCAGTCACTGAATCAAGCCATCTCATCTCAGGTTTTCCTCTCTTGTGCTGTCCTCTCACCTTCCCAAGCACAACGTTCCTCTCCAAGGACTGATCCCACCTTGCAATATGTGCAAAGTATGTCAGACAAAGCTTTAGAATCTTTGCCTCCAAGGAGCAGCCTGGTCTCACCCTCTCTAGGATGATTTTGTTTGTTCTTCTAGTAGTCCATGGTATATTCAATACTCTTCTACCAACACCACAGCTCAAAGGCATCAATTCTGCTTCTATCGGCCCTAGTAATTGTCCAGCTTTCTGATGCATTAGAAAAAGCTTTATAACAATTGTCCAAGCAGGGAAGAGGCCAAGGGACTGTACTGCAATGAATGAGACAGGCCTTTCTATTGGTGTGGCTGAAAGGAGCCTCTCTCTCTTGCTTGAAGAACTCTTTTCTGAGTCATTTCTAAACCTGAATAACCCCCACAATTGTCATTATTGCCTCTGAGTTGTGTATGGCCACTGCAATGGATTTTAGAGCCTAGTAGAGAAGTAGAGAGTGCTGTGAGAGGGGTAGTTGATGTCAGATGATAAAAAGTTTGGAGGGTGG